TAAACAGTATTCGAGGTTAATGTTCCATTGTTTGGAATATGGGTATTCAGGAAGAGATTAGAATAATCATAGCTAAGATCAGCTAATAAAATGGCAATGTTATCAATCAAATCTAAATAATTCTTGTTTCCTACAGAGTTAACAAGGTGACGATAATAATTCTTTGATTTTTCTCTATATAAATTAAGAGTAATTGGTATATAAGTAAAATGAAGTTATTGTCAGTACCAACCTGTAAACTTGATGAAGACGTGGTGTTTTGATAAAAAGATAAGGGAGATAATTCCAATGTTAGTAGGATATTTTATCTCATTAAAACCACCTGTTGAGTTTATAGTCAAGTTAAATACCTGTATTTCATTCAAATCAGTTTTCAAAATCAGTATTATAAGGCCTACTATAATCATATATATACATGTATTTCATTCAAATCAGTTTTTAAAATCAGTATTATAAGGCCTACTATAATCATATATATACATGTATTTCATTCAAATCAGTATTATAAGGCCTACTATAATCATATATATACATGTATTTCATTCAAATCAGATTTTAAGATCAGTATTATCTGGTCTACTATAATCATATAAACACCTGTATTTCATTCAAATCAGTTTTTAAAATCAGTATTATAAGGCCTACTATAATCATATAAACACCTGTATTTCATTCAAATCAGATTTTAAGATCAGTTTTATCTGGCCTACTATAATCATATATATACATGTATTTCATTCAAATCAGATTTTAAGATCAGTATTATAGGGCCTACTATAATCATATATATACATGTATTTCATTCAAATCAGATTTTAAAATCAGTATTATAAGGCCTACTATAATCATATATATACATGTATTTCATTCAAATCAGATTTTAAGATCAGTATTATCTGGCCTACTATAATCATATATATACATGTATTTCATTCAAATCAGATTTTAAGATCAGTATTATAAGGCCTACTATAATCATATATATACATGTATTTCATTCAAATCAGATTTTAAAATCAGTATTATAGGGCCTACTATAATCATATATATACATGTATTTCATTCAAATCAGTAGTATCTGGCCTACTATAATCATATACCAGTGAATACCTGCATTTCATTTAAATTAGTTTCTAAAATCGGTACTATCTGTTATACTATAATCATATAAATAGCTTTAAGATACTGACCTAAGATCATTAGTATTGTCAGCAAATATAAAATTGAAGACTTCTTTCACTACAAAATATGAGATCTCCAGAAAACAATTCAAATACGACAGATAATTATTAAAATGATTTTTTTTATCATTTTTACTACATGCTGAATCTTACCGAAATGTTATTAGAATTACATTCTTCCTACACACTTTCTGACATGTTCCAATCTATTATTGGACTGGAATCATTCTTCATGCAAATCAAAGCAATTCTGAACTTTCATGCCATGATCTCACGTTCTTTGATTAGTAGTTTCTGTCTAGTTAGCTTCAGAAAGAATTAATTTTATGAGAAACTGAGGTAAAATGAGACTTTTATACAAATTATAAGTCTACATGAAAACCATTGGAAAGAATTTTACAGACATTCTAACATGATATTACATTGGTAATAACATTCTATCATCCATTAAAACTCTTACAATAATGTACTGTGATCAGGGATAATGATTTCACTATCTGCCAGTCAGATCTTCCAGAATGTCTGGCTGGGTCTGGTATATGAATGATTGAAAGAAGCTATAGATGTTGTCAATTTCTGATTGCAATTGAAGTTATACTAGTCTCATTTTTAAGAAACTGAAAGTTTGTTCATAATGCAGATGTCTTATAAGATGGCAACGTTATATAAATGAATAGCCCATGTGACGTCACTGAACACCCAATCAACAGCAAAAAACTACTGTATCTCAGAAATGTGTGATGATATACCTGAAAGTATCATTAAATAGCTTAATCAACTTTGATTTAAATGATGTAAAATATGATTAGTTTTGAGTTACTAGGACTGGAGAAATATGTTTTAGACATCAAAGTGGCAATTTTAATGTGCCATCATCTTACATTGTTTGTTTGTGTTATGAGCCTCATTCTGGAGAATAATGTCTAGAGATGCAAATTCTTAAACAACAAATGCCACCTGAGTTAATACATCATAATGGTTTTCTGTGTGTTAATTTATACTTTTATCATAGTTTCACTGTTCTTGCTTCCTTATCTGTGGTTCACACATAATAGTTTGAGTTAATAGATCACTCAAAGTATTTATGAATATTTTTCTAGTAATTAATTTTTTTATCAAGAAATAATATAGTCTCAAGAAGTTTCAGTACAGAAATCAGTCAGTAGATCAAGGATTATGTTTTAACGGACATGTTCAATTCTTACAAATACACTTCTATAGACTCTCTGTTCTTTGAAGTTTCTCAATGATCCTCTCAATACCTTAATCAATAACATTTATAGGAATTATGTGAATGGATTGTTTACAGACATAGCTGTTTCATCGACTGTTTCATATACATACATATTGGTAAAAAGAAACATATTATTTGACTCTATTTCCAACATCATTTACATTCATGACGTTATTGAACTTCCATTTCGTTGCAATATTAATTTGTTTTAATCTCTTTCAGGAATATCTTTAGAATATTTCTCAGACTTGATGGAAGTGTCTATTGATCAAGCTGACTGTAGAATGACTTAATATTACCAAATTTTTTGAAAAGTCAGTCAATGATCGTAACACAGTACATTTTGTCCATGTGTGGTGTTTTTGAGTAAGACAGTCCTTTTAAGGTGGCTTAAAGGCTAAGTTTACTTGTAGTAAGAATTGTAAACTCTTCTCAACTGGGCAATCTTGATGACCATACTAAACAAACTGCTTACTTAAACCAACCAGAACAGAATAGATTCATTGAACAAATGAGCTCAGGTGATTCAGAATGCAAAACCTTCACTGACAGTTGATCCCAGAACAGGATCCTTTGATACTGTACAATACTTATTGAATATCTCTTAACAGAAATATCATTTACTCATTTATACTGACTACATATTTGTCAATAAGATATGTTATTATTGATCCTAAACAACTCAGACATTAACCTCTATAATACATGACAACTCTTAAATTATATATATTGTTTTTGAACTTCAAGAAAGTATTTGATTTGGTATGGGTACGTCCATATTAGTTATTGAAAACTCAACCTCAACTCAACCTTATTTCAACTAATTCAATTTTCCAGTCCTGGCGTGACTATAATATTACTCAGATTAACAGCAAAGTCGTTTGGCAATTCTAGAAATACTTTAATTAGATTAGTATGGAAGAGAAGTACCAAAACTAAAGGTTTGGAATGAAAACAGACAAAACTACAAAATTCTGAAAAGTTAATGTTTATTGGCCTTGGTTTAAACTTATAGATATTTCCAGACACACAAAACAACACTGGAATTTTGATTTGTCTACATATTCTTAAAAAATCTATTCATTAAAGCTGAATGTACCATTATATGCAATTGTGGTACAAACTATAATTGAAATGTACAGTTTATGTATGTATATTTACTATGTTATTACTGTTATTTTTAAGTACTATATCTGAATATACATCATTTTAATATACAGATATATACAGATATATTTAATGAATATGTTTGTTTTGTATGTTGTTTGATTTTCATTTTGCTGTGTTTGTCAGTTGCCTTTGCAACTTTGGGAGAAATGTATGTTTAGTACCTATATAAAAGATTACAAATGTTTGCTTAACATATTGATTGAATAATTTGTAACCTGTGAGTAAATTAACATGTAGGAGAACACTAACCTTCAATTCTGAAGAAGGCCTCTTCTTCTCCTGCTGCATTACTGGCAATACATTTATATCTACCTACATCGCTCTTTTTCACTCGGTTAATCTGTAGACGTGATGCTCTTCTGAAATAAAATGGTTTATTATGTTAAACTGTTTTGTTCCGGGCAGCTGATAAGTAAAATATTGGGAAACAAGCAAATTAATAGATTGGTTAATTGACTGATTTTGGAGGTAGATGACAGAAATACAATGGAACAAAATTACTTTTATACCCTTCTGTTCAAAAAAATACTTTGATCTTTGATGAGTAAATTTATTTCCTGATTTATGCTCTAAAATCAAATGCAAGAAGGCAGGTTAGAAAATTATGTCAAAAGTTATGTAATTGTACCTAAAAATGTACATGAAATAACTTATGTTATTTTATACTTCTATCATTTATTTGCATAAGGTGAAGATGGAAACTTGTGAGGTAAAATTAGCTGTATTTAAACATTACATTGTATATTTTATAAACAAGACCAGAACGGCAGCCATGTTATTTTCTAAATAGACTTCTGTTACTAGATGGTGAAGATATGACCAGACTGCTGGCAACCAAACTTAGTAAAACATAAGAACTGCGACAACACCAATACTTATAGATAATCATTGTATCATTCAATCTTGAATGACATTTTAACAGATCTAAAAGATAGTTACCCTATTCAAAGTAAAAAATCAATATCCTTATTCTAGAAGATCTGTTTTAATTAGTGATTGAATCTAGGATACATTGAATTATTACAAATTTGGTCAAACAAGAAATAAGATTCTCCTTCCTTTGGCTTCCTCTAATATATCATATTTCATATGAAATGATTCATGGAAAGAATTTAAAAAACATGCACAGATATTTTATAGCTTTCAATAGCAACTAATTGCAAGAAAAAATCATCTATTTCTGCCATCTATTATACAACATTAAAAACTTTTGGCACAATTAGTTGCCAATTGTTAAGATTTGAATTTAAATTCTCTTGAAATCACGCCACATTTCTTCACACAGAAGTTAGTCTTGTATAAACAGTGTTAAAACTTGTTAATTGTTTTAAGAATTAAGACAGCATTAGAAAGTACTCCAACATATCTGATTAGAATCTAATCAAAATAAAAACAAACACCCAAATTGTCATGATTCACCCATTACACTCTTATAGAAGCTAAAAACAGACCATTTTTTGGCATGTTAGCTATATCTGTATGACAAAAATAACATATTTTATTGCGTTAATGTGTCTGAAATGTGTTTTTCTGAATAATTAGAAGAATCATACTGAGAATAAAGAATGTAAGAAGTAAAAATATAGTTAAAATTAAATTAAATTTTCAACCAGGGTGTCCAAGCACAGTACTTTAGAACCATATTTTAACAGGATACAAGAATCTTCAGGATGATTCTATATCGGGAAGAGTTCCACATTAAAATTAGTCCAGAAATTAAATTCCACATCATAAAAGGACCATACTTACTTTCCATTTTTGATATTGAGACCTTTCCTCCGTGTTAATAAAACATCATCTTTATACCAACTATATATAGCACGAGGTTTGGCTTTAGCTGAACATCGTATTCGAATTTTCTGACCTTCACGCTTTTTTTGGTCTTTTATTCTTTTGATTTTTGGTATTTTTGCTGAAAATATAAAATGTGAAGCATTAAGTTTTATAAAAATATTAATTGTTGTTTGTCATCAAAACACAGGTGATATTGGTTTTTAAGTTTCTGAAACCAGTTTAACCAACAGAAAAGTTGTATGTATATTTAATTTCTTGGAATTTCAGAGGCTGAACAAGTGATACCAAAAATAGGAACAGGCATGTATAAAAGATACATAAGGTTAAGTGTTATCTTCAAACTCAACATTTATGTCAAACTTAATTCTAAAGTCATCCACATCACACTATGAGTTGCAGATAAGATTAAACATTCATCTCTAACCAGTTTTTTAAAAAGGTAAGGCCAACCAGCCAGCTAGACCTTTCATCTTATTAGATAAGATTTCTCATGAAAGTTACAACAAGTGTAAACTAGTTAACTTTTGCTCTCACATAATCTGACTGATTTAAAAATAGTTATCAAAACACAACTTTCATGACACCAGTTCAGGTAATGATAAAACCACTAGTTGGTTGAGAAATTTGGGAATTACATAAGTAAGAAAAATGTAATTTTATTAGTGGACAAGTCTATGGGATGACACACACGTTCCCTAAATCTGCCTAATAATAGCATACAAAATAATTTGAAATGTACCAAACTGAAATTTATCAGCAATAGAAAAAGTTCTTCCCTAAACGACTTCATTCACCTAGAACAAAGATGATCCCCTTAAAACATTTTTAACATGTTTTCAGACAGATAATAGTCTGAAATAGTATGATGTTTTCATGGTTTTATCACTTATCTTAGAATTTCATCATTTTACATATTTTCAATAAAATTTTCAATAAATTTCCATCATACATTATTACCTTGAAGTGAAATTAGTTTGCTGATATACTTTAAATCAAAATCACGACTGACTGGAGCAAATATTGTCTGCATAAATTAGGAAGATTATACAAATAACCAGAAGCACAACAAAAAAAATCAAATTGTCTTACAATATTTAAAGGCCCTTTTACAATACTTATATGTCATTGTTTAGTCTGCACCCTCTAGGAAGCCTAATTTTTACTTGATTGACTTTGTCTATTTCATTCAAAAACATTTTATACCATCACAATTACTAGAAAGCGGTATGATTAGTAGATACTTCATCTGTTTACAGTGTCACTTAAGTTTTGGTAGCTGAATTTGGCTGTTGCAGTTAGCTCATTTTGTTATTTCAATTCTTTAGGTCAATACATATAATTGACTGAACATTACAGAAATTTTATTTTTACCGGACATTCACATATTATCTGTGAATGAGTAATGAGAATGGAAAGTTAATAACCTGATTCAAAACATCACACTGTTATTTACACATCTAATAAATGGAATTAATAAGAACCTGAATTATTGATGCTTTCTACCACCCTTAGACTATAAATTAAAAGATATACAACTTGGTAGTAGTTTTTTTTATAGCATGTAGTACTTAATAGATTATCCTACCATAGTCTTTTGGCCTTATAGTGATGAGCTAATTGGAATCATGATAATGAGAGTATTTAATTAGTCACTCTCAGAGACTAATCAAAGATAACACCAGTAATTTCAGGACTGGTGCCATGGCTATATACAGTATATTATATAACATGCAGTGTATGTTTGTGTGTGTGTCTTTTCAACTAAAATCATACTAATGACTAACTAATTTCACATAATTAATAGACTTATCTATTGCTCTGTGACCTAGGCCAGTGCTTTCATTGAGACTCGTCTCAAAACACCAGTAATAATGTATGTTTTTACTTCTAAATATTTTAGTGGCTCAACAAAACCTGGTTATAGCTAACACAAGCTCAATGAAGTCAACAACAAAAAACTTGAAATGAAGGAATAAAGAGATGGAATTGGCATGTCCACTTTTACATGGAATTTGGGGAAAAAGAGAATCGAGCCAAATCACATCTTGATTGACTGGTAGTTTTAATGCAGAAATATTTTGCTCAAGCCCCATATTGACTTTCGCCCATTATCACCCATAATCCTTATTACAAACAGACCTTGAGAAGCTCCTATCTGACACATCTCATGGATGGCAAATACAATCCCATCAATAACCCTGTTTCAAAGTTCATAGTTACAATCTAGTTCTGCTTGAACACTTTGATTAAAAATGTCTCAATTAAATGATGCCATTCAGTCTCCTATCTCCAACCTATATCATTTGATTTGATATTATTGCTTCTTTTAAGTTAGAGAGAATTTCTGACATTTTCTCATTTCCTATCTGACTGTATCATAGATATCAGAGTACTTCCATGGTGACAGCATTGGAAATAATCTTGGTAAATATGTCAAGCTGAAAGATACTGTTTATTTTAATCATGATATATGTTTCAGTAACTAATACCTAACATCAAGTGAGATTCGTGTATCATTCACCAAATCAGAAGATTTGTTCAGTTATTCAAGGTTGTGTAAAATCTCTTCATAAAGTGAATCTTTGAGCAGCAGATAGCAATCTTCAATTATCAATACTAAAGAAATGATGTAAAGAAAAAGGTGAGGACTATAAAATTTGACCCTCAACTAATGAAATTACCACACTGAAGTTCTATAGTCAATATCAATAGAGGATATCCTTCAATAAACCAACCTCAATCAGTAGTAAGTCACCTCCTATCATCAGTAATTCACAGCTAGTAGGATATTTAGTAGATATCAAAGCATAATACTTCTAGTTATTGGATTTTTATTCATTAATAGAGAGGTCATTTCCAATATATGTCATCTATATTTCCAAGCCTTTAGATATTCCCTGAAAACAAACTGGATGGCAAAGATCATCTTCAAGACACCAAATACAACGATATGGTTTACTTAACTTCATTTATGCATAAAATATCTGAAAAGTCTATGCAAACAATATTTTATTTATTTGGCATATTACATTATTCATATATATGTGTAAACTTGATCCATCAATATGAAATAGAAACAACCAGAAGCAATTTATATTTCTCTTTAGAAGGAAGCAGTACCATCCATACACTTAAAGAGTTGTGAAGATGTGTATTAAATGTTTCAAGAAGGATTTTAAGAAGAGAGAGTAAGAAAACTAAAATGTTAAGGATTGTTCGACTGCCTTCAAGACAGTTTAAGTGAGTTAAAAATCTATTGTCAGTTTACAATTCAGTGGATACAGTCTAGCAAACATTCTCTATGATATAATTATCTAGTTGACTTGCTTCGTGCATACACTAAATATTCCCTTAATTATTCTTAACTGTCTGGCTCTAGCAGAATCTTGATTCCTAAACTGATTTCTATAGTCATTAATATTTCAGGACATATTTTAATTTTGTCTGCATCTATCTAAATTTTTAACAGGAGCTTAGCCCTATAAATTTTCAATCAATAATTTGTCTATGATTACAGACCTAGGTATAATTATTTAGTCCTACCCATGTAACTCCTTTAAATACAAAGACAATCTGAAATATTAAAGTCAGAGTATGGTTGAGGCTGTAAGTACCAACCACAGTCAGTGTTTATATGTTAAGTTTCAATGATATTCCCCGAATTCAGCACTCTTGATATCAATGATTTAATTTATCTTAGTGAAATTCTGAATTCCACTGCACTATTAACAAATTAATTTGCTTTACCTTGAGTTGTTACACTGGGATCATTTTTGGATTATATTCTGATGCAGGCAGACTTGACTCACTGAGACATTTCTTACTAGGTCATTGCCAGATCAAATCATTTTTTTTTTTATCTACCTTTGTATTTATAGGTCATGTTCTACCACTTGTTAACAAGCTGAGTATATGATAAAAATCAGAGTAAACTAACACTACTTGTCAACAGTAGTAAGGAAATATGAGTAGTAAATTGGTGGTAGATAGTATGCCAGACACAGGTACAGGAATGAAGTTTGCAATGGTGGCCTGCATATGTTACTAGTCTGGTTCCAGTCTGTTTAGTTCTTTAGAATCAATTGTATTCTAGGGTAAAACAGTGTTAAATGTTAGTTCTGCATCTCTTGTGTCATTCCATAATATTACCAACTACTGAATTCTTGTATCTGAGTATCCGAGTGTGGGTGGAAAATAACAGATGTACTTTTGCTGGAGATCAAGTGGAAATGTAAATGTCCCTTTATATTTATCCTGCAATTCTATTTCGTTGCACGAGAGTAGGTTCTCACCATTCACACCTTCCTCATGTCTCTTGCACATCTGCCATCATTGATTCTATTGTTAATTCTGTTGCAGGTGACATAATATGGGTACATGAGACTTTTTTTTTCTTTTTACTTAACTTCTGTGTACAAAGGTACCAGCAGTCTTCATACAAATGTTAATCTTCTTATCCATGATGCAGAATTGATTGTTGAATCAGAACAAGTATTTTACATCAAGCAATGATCTGTATAATTTATGGTATAAAATTGATGAGATTCTAAGAACTCTTCACTGTACTTGTATGACTGATAAGAGCACAGAGTACTTCATAATTACAAGAAACAGTATCTGAATAGGTCAGAAGTATTTTAAAGTTATCACCTTCTAAAATTCATTAAACGCAAATGTCCTTTCAAAGCATATAAAAATATTAACATGTGGCAGAACAACCTGCATGACATTTACTCTTACTCATCACTTTTCTATTCCCGATTAGGACATTTTTTTTTCATTTTTCCCAAATTTTCTAACTGTTAAATGCAAGGATTATCAAATCTTAAATCTAAGGGGAATGGTTTGTCTTATTGGAAATCTTTTAAAGAAAAAATCTAAAAAGAGACAGAAATATGTTAGAATCCTCAGTGGGATATCATATTTCTCTAAAAATGGCATGTTAAATCCTAATATTCCACTTCAGTCATTTCTAAAATTCTTTTTATTTGATTTTAAATATTCTCAAGAACTAAGGAGACTGTAATCGTTAAAACCAAGTGATTTCTACTCTAGGGAAAAATTCTGAATTTCTTCCAATTACAAAACAATTTTGGCTAATTACTTAACATCATGACAAACTCACACAGAACTAGAGATAAAATTTAGAACCAAGTCTGTTAAATCCACTATGTAATTCAAAATCGTGACTAAATTGACCTTCCTAATATGACTTTGTATAAAAAACAACATGGTCTCTCATCAAGACACCAAAGAATTAGCTCAGCATGTTATATTTTGGTAATTTTTTCCCAGAACTAAAACTGATGATTTCATTGTGGCACTTATTCCAACCTTTGGTAAACGAATTTGTAAGCCACAAAAGAGAATTCTTTATATTGAGTGTACATTATGATGATCCTCAAAAATTATATTAGGGTCTCTCAAACTACAAGAATTTTGAGAATGATTAGAGGCAAAGCATTATTTTCTGAATGGTTTCAACAAATTGTAGACAAATTCAATGCAGGTTTTTCATTCTGACTGATACAGGATACATAATCTAGACAGGACTACATCCCTGAAGGAAGTGATAAATTTAAAGAAAACAAAGTAGAATATCACCCCAACTACTTAATAATCACTAGTAGAAGATAATAAATCTCTTCTGAATATTTCACTGATAATTACTAGCTATTTAAATAAACATTGTTAGAATGATTAGAATATTCTTCATTGCCAACTAGCAACTTAATACATCATTAAGTATTCACTGTTTTCAGTAATAAAATACTGTTAACAGCTTTTTTCAAACATCACAATACAGGTATTGTATAGTTATTTCTATTCAAATTTATAGTTTATGTACATGTACCAATAAATTAAAAAAATTATTTGCCCAATGAGAAGAGAAATGTAGGGCCATAACAGATAAATTTCACCTTTCAGTATAAATTCAGAATACTATTTGAGTTTTAACTGTGCCAATTCAATCATTTACAGCAGAAATTTGAAAATCTAGAAACCGTAAAATATAGGAACATATATATATCAAAATTGAATTAGTTCAATCACACATTTGATCCCATACCATATCATTACTACACTTGAAGAACCAAATAACAGTTTTCACTTTTTATGAGTTAGTTCACCTAAAACCAAGGGAAACAGTACAAAGTAATCATAGAGTAATTTGTATGTGAAGTAGGTATGAATTATCAATATCTTTATCAGATTAGTTGTGGTCTAGAGCCACCCAGGTGGTCAAAAGGCAGCCAAAACACTAGAATACACCCTGCAGTCCTCCTTCTAACTCAATATTACTATCATAAACAGTAGTTTATTACTATTTTACTATATTTACTATATACTTCAAACCTAACTACTCCATCACATCAAATAAGCCTGGAAATAGGTAGAGTTTCAGGAAGGACTTAAAATGAATGATTTAAATACAAGTATTCATTAAAAGTAATAGTGTGTTAATATGAAACTATTAATAACAGTGAATTTGCAGTTGTTTTGTCTGGGTTTCTTTTTTCACAGAGATACAATACTATATCAGCTATCTGTGCATGCAATTGACCATTTGATGTGATGCATAAGTATTAAAAATGCATGTATTATGTATTAACACTGAACATAGATGTTATGTAAAGATATAAATTACATCAAATTATAACCTAACATCAGCCTGGCTTCAATCTGACTAAACAAATTATAAAAGTTAAGCTGCCATGGATCACTGTCAAGAATTGATTTTCCTTGCTGATATGATGTCACGAAATCTTGGCTGTACAGATCTTCAAGACAAATACTATATATCATAGAAATTAAATGGCAGAAGAAAAACAGGGAAAAGTTATCCATAACAGATATACGGAGATAGAATTGTTGATCTGTATGAATGTCAAGAACTAGACAAACTTTCACAGCAATCAATATTCATTAAACTAACCTGTTTCCTTTTCTTTAAAGAGACACATTGCTAACATCTTATTATTAAATTGCTACCCGACGCAGTGAAATTCAAATTTCTTAACTATGACAGCATGACATAATTATTGACATAAAACTGTAGCTTTAAGGAGAAGATTACTCATGTTCCTGAATACATTAAGTGCCTACTAAAATTATTAAAACTAAAACGTTTCCTGATTTATTATTAACTTTGACAGAGAAGAA